GGACCGTAAGCAAACACGGCAGGGGGGAAGGATGGGGGGCGATCGCCGTATGGATCTGTCCTGTGCCCACCCTCCCCAGCCCACCCATGGCCACAGAGCTGCGTTCACTGCCGACCTCTCAGTCGCAGGAAATCCCTAAAAGTTGCCTCCTTTTCGCATGGAGCGGAATTTTCTTTCGCTCTAAGGTTACCAACCCTCGTTTCTCATCCTGACCTCTTGCTTTTTGGGGGAGATGAAACGAAGTGACCAAAGTGCTGCAGAATAAGCTCCCTGACAGCTGTGGGAGCTCCAGTTTTCCTCCTTCCCCAGCTTCTGGGACTCCACCGCTACCAAAGTCAACACTGCCAGAACAAGACAGCAACTGTTCCTGCACCTGGACTTACACCGAGACAACTTCTTGGCAAACCCAACGTCTGTCAGCGCATTGTGAACAAAAGCGCAGGACAGGGCTTGGGGCAGAATCCCAGTAGCCTTAAGCTGGTTTTGCTCAATTCCCATGAACAGCAAAGGCTTGGTTCGCTGGGAAGGAGCAGAAGAGGCTACTGAGCACCCCAACAACCATCACCACTCTGGGACGGTCACCCGTGTCCCTCGCTTTTCCGGTCTATCATACTGCATGACGTCCCCCAGCGTGAGAGGTGCCGCCTCTGACTTGTGCTTCCAAAAGCTGAGCCCACACCAGTTCCCAGCAGCCCACAACACACCCCCTGCAGCCCCTAAATCACAAGAGCAGCACTGCCCCAAGCCACAGCATTTCTCCAGCCCCCCAGTAAGTCACAGGGGGCTGCAGAGGCAGCCACCCCCCAGCAGCCAGCTCAGCTTTCCAGCCCTGCGCTATCTCAACAAAGATTAGCAAAACCCAGCCCAGGGCTTTGCACTCCCCTTTCCTGCTGCCAAGCAAAACGTCGCCGGCACTGCCGGGGTCACACGGCCCCAGACACAATAGCCCAGTGAGGCTTTTGGCTGCCCCACGTCATCTTTGCCAGACGCTGCCTTCCCCTCCGGATCGGCACTTTGCCAAAAGCACCGGGCCGAGTGCCAGCACACAACCCCCGGAGAGGGAGCCTGCAGCCGGGCCCCGGCAGCCCTCCAGCTTCAGCTTCCCAAAGGCAGACGAGAGAGTCTCCGGTGTTTCCAACTCCTGAGCACCGAAGGTGGTGGTGCACCAAAGAGATCACAGCAACATCCACAGGCTTGAACGTTTCTGCCTGCAGAACAACAAAGCCTGAGGTCCCTTCTCAAATGCAGGCAGAAAAATAAAATATGCAATTCTGGCCGAGCATGCAGAGCAAGGAGCAGCCCTGTGAAGTGCTGTCACTGTGTCCCGACAACAGGAATTGATTATGCAGATGTCTATCCTGAACACCCCGGGAGGAAGGCGATTGCCCTGGTGCAGGCATGGAGATGCTGCTGGCACTGTAGGCTTCTCCCAGACAACGCTTCCAGCTCGTTCCCTCCTACTCCTGTTCACTACGTGCCTGCGATGGGTCTTGTGAGCATTGATAACAGCACAGCTCCTGCTCCAGAGCAGGAGGAGGACAGGAGAACATCGATCTCCACCAGGTCAACCACTGTCTACCAATGATCAGCTCTCCTGTGCTTCCCAGGAGGAATCCAATCTCCTCCAAGGCAGGTATTTATCTTCTGCAGCTGCTTTGATCCAATCTAACACAAAACTGCAAGGGGCTGGTCTGGCCAAAGGACTTCTGGTTGGTGAACCCAAGCTGAGAGCCAGACCAACGCAGAGACACTCTCCACCTTGTACCCTCCAGCTGGCATCGTCCCTTCCTTGGGATGTGCTGCACTGGCAGAGCAAAGGTCCTCGTCCTCCTCGCTGTATTGTTTTGCCAGCATTCAAGGCATTCGCCCTGGAGCAGAGGGTGCCATCAGCCTCTTCACAAATAAACCAGTCAAAGATAAGACGTCAAATGTCCTGCCCAAGGTCAGTAAAGCTTTTGGAGAGGCAGAGCATGGAGCCTGTCCTCCCACCAGCCCAGTGCTCTGCCCCTGGCACCAGCTTTGCAAGCTGCTCTGCCCGGCGTTCTGATAGGATGTGATGAAATGGCCTCAAGTTGCACCAGGGGAGATTTAGATGGGATATCAGGAAAAATTTCTTTGCTAAAAGAGTGGCCAAACATTGGAACAGGGTGCCCAGGGAAGTGGTGGAGTCACCTCGCCTGGAAGCGGTCAAAACACATGTAGATGTAGCACTTCAGGACATGGTTTTGTGGGCATGGTGGTACTGGGTCGATGGTTGGACTTGATGATCTCAGAGGTCCTTTCCAGCCTTAGTGATTCTCTGATTCTCCTAGCAGCTGTTCTCGGGACAGGCTGCAGTCCCATCAGAGGGACATTACAGACACACAATGCAGAGAGCATCCCCGCTCCAGGGCCCTCCAGCCCCAGGTCAGTAAAGCACCTAAGGCTGCTGGGAGGATGGGCAGGCGCAATCGGAGCCCCCCCAGTGCTCGCCCACCGTGGCTGTAACTCACCGTGAACGTCTGCCAGTCCTCCCTGGAGTTCCTCCAGAGCACGATGGTGGGGACACCGGGGGTGCCCGCAGGGCCCGGGTTGCCCGGGGGGCCCATCCGCCCCATGGCTCCGGGGTATCCCTAGGGAGACAGGGGCAGCTCCTTAAAACCAGCTGGGCATTTAAGACAATGTGGGGCGGACACGGGCTCTGACTCAACCCAGTGCCTGAGCATAGCCTGGGTCTCGGCACATTCATAATTCCGGGGTTCAGACCAGCTTCTAAGATCTAAATAACCCTGACAAGAGGGAAAGCAAAAGGAACGAGCTTCATACGCACGTGCCTGTGCCCAGACCCATCTCAATGCCACGGGCATTGCAGCTAATGCACACAGAAGTGGCATGACTCACGGGGCAACAAGTTCACCTCTCTACAGCTTGGGAAAGATGGAAACTACCATGCGAAGGTGGTTAGGAGAATGTTTGTTGTTCTACTGATGGGGAAACTGAGGCACCACCCTTAATCCAGAGCACTTCCAAGCACCTGTCAGTGCTCCAGGCAATGCTGCCTGCCGGAGCTCTGCCGAGTTCCTGGAGAAGGACGGGTCTGACCAACATAGTGTGGGAGGACACATGTCCCTCCAAGATGAACTGGTGGATATAGCATGGGGCTGGACTTTGGGACATGCCAGCATCCCTCCTCCAGGCGACCTGAGCTAAAGCTGCTCCATCTCCCGGCTCCACCGAGCCATTAAGCGGCTCAGACGAAAGACAGCAGCTTGTCCAGACACTCGGCTCAGTCTGACACCCAGGAAAAATAGTTCCTTCCTCTTCCAAACGCACACAACGGGCCACAGGCTGCAGCTGCAGAAGCTCACACCGCCCTCCTGACGAGAAACAGCCAAGCCAACCCACCTATTTTGGTATTTGCCCCTGCCACCCATCTTGTACCTTCCCACGTTTTCCTGGATACTCACTTTGTCTCCTTTGGGTCCCACCAGTCCACGTCTCCCAGGACAGCCCTGAAAGGCAAAGGAGAAGAGCGTGCCACCCCGAAGAGGGACCCCCCAACCAGAGGAGATCCCACGGTGGCCAGGTGACCACTGCTAGGGTCGGACACATCCCGGCCCCAGGGAAGCAGGAGCTGCAGCAGCTGATTCAGAGCAAACCAGCAGCAGCGAGTCTCAAAGAAACACGCCGAGGGCAGAGGGGGTGGAAGGTGGTTTATGCTGCTCCCTTCCCACTCTCCTGCCCTGGCACCAGAAAGCAGCTCTGCTCGGCCACAGCCAAGCGGGATAATCCTGCAGCATCCATCCCAGAATCACCCCGGACCGTATGGCCAGGGAGTGGGAGCACATTTCCTGACACCTGGCGAGGAAAGGCAGCGCGTTAGGATAAAAAAATCCCATAAAGCTGGATCATGGCCACGCACTCACACAGTACTTTGGACCAGGACGCAAACATCTGCGGCTCCCAATGTATGTGAGAGCTGACCTGGCCACAAGGGCCTGTTTTGGCCAAGCAGTAGCCCCATTTTAAGGCTCCCTGGACACAAAGTCCGACAGGAGAGCCTGCCTTTTCTCGAGGAAAAAAATCTACCTGCAAGACAGCGATGGAGACCGATGTGGTGCCGGGCTGCAGCACTTCACCTGCCTGCACGTCTGCTGCAGGGCTGCAGCTCCCACGGCTCCGGTTACAGCTGCCGGATCTGTTTGGAGCTTGCAAACGACCTTGTCCAAGCCCAATTCCCAGGCAGTGAGCCCGGGAATCCACGCTGACCCGCACCGCCGCAGCGACAACTGAGGCAGCCCCCACCCCACTGCCTCACACCCATAGTCCCTCGGGGGGAAAAAGGGGGAAAAAGGCCGAGCTGAACATCCCAAAACAGCTCTGCCGCTGAGGGATCCTCCACCGAGGGGACTTCCATCACCTCAAGCGCCCGGATTTGAAGCCCACGGGGCTCCATGGCTCAGTTCCCCCCTCCCCGGGGCAGCTCTGCTCTCATCTTCAGACCTTGGCTACTGCTGAAGGAGGTGAAATAAAGCAATTCCTGCCCGCTGGACCCAACGCTCAAACACGCACCAGAATGGGCAGGGACCCCCCTGTTTATCCACCCAGCACCCCTCCTTGAAGGAGCTGGATGTGTGCTGCTGGGAGACCAGTTCTGCAGAAAGGTAGCCAGCTTGGAGTCACAGGGATTTTACCCTGGGCACCACATGCCCGTTGCAAGGGGCCTGGGGACGGGCTCATCCTCTCCACCCTGGCTGCAGATATACATTAAACCCTTCAATAAGTCCTGTCTTCCCTTGAGCCCCCTCAAAAGAGTCACTTCTGGGTGCAGCCTCTAGATTACCTCCCGTGTGGACACCCGCTGCCCGAGGTCCACAGCTGAGACACGCCAGCAGCCCACGGGGTGCCCAACGAACCCCTCCTCCAGCATGGTCACCAGTGGGGCACGGTGCTCCATCGAGGACATGTAAAGGCACCAGGACCCTCTCTGAGATGGCCAAAGTGCCATTCCCCCTCCTGCTCCCCCCAAGTCCTGGCCGTGGCCACCCCAGCACAAACACCAACGTTGCAAAGCCAACGGGCGCTGTCCTAGTGCACCGCAGAGGGACAGGACCGAGCCACGGGCACAAAAGCACCTTCTAAAATTTGATGGCACATATTGTTCTCCCTTAAGCAGCTCAGGTCCTCCCAGGCTGATGCCATTTCGTGCACATCAAAACTGTCAGCTCAGAGCACCAGGAATGATGAACCCACGGGCTGTGACACTTTGAGAGAGAAAAATTAAAATCAATCCAAGAGATGTCATGGAGAAGGGAGCCGGTGTCCTGTCCCGCACACAGAACGCAGCGCTGCTCTCCAGCACCATCCCTGCTCCCGAAGAGGGACCCCCCTCCAGCCAGGGGAGATCTCATGGTGGCCAGGTGACCACTGCCATGGCCAGAGACATCCTGACCCCACGGCTGCAGCCCCAGCTGTGCGGAACAGCGGGAGGAAGGCACAGGGGACGCTTTGCATTCATCTGTCACCCAAGTTCACGCCGTCCCCGACACCAGATGCCTCCAGCAGGATTCGATTTAAGCCTATGAAGAGAAACTGCATCTCTGCTCCCGACCAGCCAGTGCTACATTTGAGCAACAGAAAGTAAAAAAGAAGAAGAAAAGCCCGTGGGGCCGTACGGACAGCTGGAACCCCCCGTGAAACACCCTCTGTGCAAGCCAAGAAGCTTTGGAATACTGGCAACATGATGCAATCCCTGCAAGGAGGATTAGCAAAGGTCATAAAGATCAGCAGCTTTTACAGTAAGAAACGCTTTCCACTTCTCACAGCGTGTTGGGTTTTTTCCCCACCGATCTCCAACACCGGGAATGGGAACCAAGGCCACGCAGTCTGCGGGGTCCACAGTCCAGGAATCATAGAATCATAGAATGGTTAGGGCTGGAAGGGACCTTCAAAGGTCATCTAGTCCAACCTCCCTGCAAGGAACAGGGATATCTCCAACTAGATCAGGTTGCTCAGGGCCTCGTCCAACCTGGCTTTGAACGTCTACCAGGGATGGAGCATCCACCACCTCTCTGGGCAACCTGTTCCAGTGTTCTACAACTCTCATGGTAAAAAATTTTTTCCTAATATCCAACCTGAATCTACCTCCCTCTATTTTAAAACCAATGCCCTGATCGGCGCTACGGCATGGTCAGGACTTGGCAGGATGATACATAAACCTGCGTCCACACCTCCCAGCTGGACTAGCTACTCCAAGTGTTTTTGCAAAGGCATAAAAATCTCTTTAAGGGTGGCAACCCAGATGTACATGAACCTGCACTGGGGGAGAGGACCCACTGCATGGTGGGGCAGGGCTGGGGATCTGTGCCCCACTGATTTCCCTGATGGATGCTGCCAGTGAAAGAGGAGGAGAAAAACCCCACAAATGGAAAGGCTGATGCTAAAACCCCATTATTTCCAAACGCTCCTCTCAGAATAACGAGAGCTGCCACCTCCAGCCATCCATCCTGCCTTGTGCCCGGGGTGACGCAGTGAGAGGGTGAACCACAGCCCAGCACACACCACCAACGCCGCCAAAACCAGAGGTGAGGCAACGTCCCATTCCCAAAAGAAAGCCTCAAAATTCCTTTTAACGAAGTTTTCCAAAGCAAGAGGACCGATTCTTTGGTTTCCCCTCCACAAGATACATTTAAACACTCAAAACATTCTCTTCTCTTCTATTTTCTATTCTATTTTATCAAACATCCATCACACCTTTGCTGGCATCATGAAGCACTGCAGAACTGAGGTGCACGGGTATGGACTCAGGGTGCCCGGGCTGGGCAGCACCCCCAAAACAGGCTCTATGTGCCCAGACCCCCCATGGCTCAGGACAGCCGAAGGGGCTTGGTGGGATGGAGCACCAAGGAGGCAGGAGAACCTCTGGGGAGCAGCAACGAGGGCAGAGCCCGTCTGCCCTCAGCCCTGGCGAGCAGTAACAAAACATCAGGCAAGGCTGCCAGGCTCAGTGCCAATAGCTCAAACTGTGCACAGCACGAGCCACTGCAGAGCTTCAAGCCTACACCTGCTGGTGCCAGCACCTCAAACCCAAACTTTTAATGCTGGGATGGAGCTGCCTGTACTCGTGTTTCCACCCAGGATGCTCACGACCAACAAAAAACCCATCTCAATGCTTTCTACAGGAGAGAAAAGCAGTTCCCTCCTGGCTGGGTCCCCTCCTGGTGCTGCCAGCCGGGCTGTCAAACGCCGTCACGTCTCCTCCGCTCCTGGGATTTTTTCATCCTTCAGCATCTGTTCCTTTCGCCATTTTCTTCTATTTCTGCAGGCAATAGCTGCAGCAGCAAGACGACGGCTCGAGGGGGAAGCTAGCAGTCCTAAATTTAACCGTTATCCCACGAAGGCTGGCTCATCGATGACGAATTTAGCGCCAGGTCCCCCAAACTCAGCCGTGAGAACAGCCGCGTGCGCAGACCGGCCCGGCAGCACCCGCACCGCAGGAACCCAGGACAGCCCTGAGCTCAGGGCATCCCAGACGGTGTTCATGGGGATGTCTTGCCCAGTGCGGGGGAGAAGGTGCCCATGGTTGCTTTGGGCAGTGGCACTGGGTAAATGAAATGTAATTTTCTAGAGGAATTGTTAAGAAAATTCAACCGAATCAGGGAAATCATTTTGGCAGAAGAAATAAACATGGTAAAAAAAGAGTAAAAACAACTTTCAGCTACTTCTCAATGAAGACTGACAACTTCCCTAAAGATTTACCTATTCTACGCTTACCGTTTTTTAAATTTCCCTTTGTTCATCCACTACGATGGATGAATAATCTGAAAAACAATCAAAACTTACTTGAAGACAAACTCAATGTCCTGCTTTGAACCACCACAAATGGTGGTAGAGAAGCAAAGGACAGCGATGGCAGCGGGGGCCATGGGCTGACGCCTGGGGACAGGGGCTGGAGGAGATGACTCAGCCAGCTCTGAGCCCTTCACCCTGCCTCTGGGCAGGACCAGGGTGAAACGAAAACCGACAACGTGGTTCAATGACTTGAGACCAGGGGCAGGGGGGATAAGGGAATCATCTTTTCCTCCCCAGCTGCCAGTTAAGCTTCTTCAGGGACATCAAAAGCACCTCCCAGCAGGGCCAGGCTGGTGCACAGCCCCGTTTTGCCCCCAGTTGCCCACGGCGAGCTGCCAGCACCGCAGCTCAGCAGCTTGCGCCCACCACCCACCCGGAGGGGAAGATGCATCACCACCCATCCCTCCTGCAGCCATCGCCTCCGTCACTCACCGGCAGCCCCGGCGGTCCTGGCAGCCCTGGTGGTCCCGGCTTCACGTGACCCTGCTGCCCATGTGCCACCGGCAAGATGGGGTGCCTTGGGTTGGCAGCATCGCCCCCGAGTCCTGGAACAGTGGGGCTGGCTGCTGGAGGGTGCTCCGGGACACCTGCCACTGACCCTGTCCCCAGTCTGGGCACGTTTCCTTTGGGGGCAGCTGCCTGATGTGCTGACGGGGAGACCTTGGTGAAGGTGGCAGGCACATCCAAGTCAGCGATGGCATCGCCAGGTTTGCCAGGCGAGAGCCGCCGCCGGGTGCCCGCATCTCCCGTCACCTTCTCTGTGGTGACATTCTCCTCGTGGGGGTCGGAGGCACGCTCCTTCTTGGCTGCTCTGTGTGTTTTGATGGAGGGTCCTGAGCAGATAAAAATACCATCAGGTATCCAGGCATCATGATGGTGCACAGGAGAAATGGAGGAAACCTTGACTATGGACTCACCGGAGCTATCAGTGACCCACGGGCTGCTCCTGCCAAGCCCTGGCCTTCCAGGGCCGGTGATTTTATTATAGGTGGAGTTCAACAGCTCAAAGCCTTCATCCTCAATAGAAAGGCTGCCCTCCTCCTCCTCAAGGCATCTCAGTAGCAGCGAGGGAAGTCAGGGTGCTCCCATCAGGCTGGAGGTTGAGGGTCTCCTGAGTGTCCTCCCACGTCCAAGGTGGCCCCAGGGTCAGATCTGAATTGGTGAGTCTGGAGTCCTGAAAAGGAAGAAAGGAAAAAAATAAAATCTGAAGTTTTCACTTTTTTTTTTTTTTTTCTTCCCTTCTGTGCTCAACACACTTGTGCTTCTTGATTTCCCATGTGCAGGAACGCTGCTGTGGGGGTCCGGGCACCTCACGCCTTGTGAGCCCCAGGAAGGAGCCCCCAAGCTCCGGGGCAGCCCATCGGCACCGGGCATGTCAGGTCACCACCTACAAACTAAAACTCGCCCTCCACAAGTGACACGAGCCAGTCGCCAGCGTGGGCCACGCTAACATGAACCTCCTGCCCACGGACCCACTGCCATGATATCGCCCCTCAGCCCGCAAGGCAAGGGGCAATGGATTGAAACTGAAAGAGGGGAGATTTAGATTAGATCTAAGGAAGAAATTTTTTACAGTGAGGGTGGTGAGGCAGTGGAACAGGTTGCCCAGAGAAGCTGTGGCTGCCCCATCCCTGGCAGTGTTCCAGGCCAGGTTGGATGAGGCTTTGAGCAACCTGGTGTAGTGGAAGGTGTCCCTGCCCATGGCAGGGGGGTTGGAACTAGATGATCTTTGAGGTCCCTTCCAACCCAAAACATTCCATGATTCTATGATTCTCCACCCAACTCTATGCTGGAGGGGCACCCAGAGACGTGCCCACAGCCTCTTGACAGACACCCAAGCATGGGAGCAATTACTAAAACAATTAAAGCAAATGCACAGAGTTACACCGGGGATCACTCTGCCCCTTTGGTCTTTGATTCTACTGCTTCTGCATATTTTGAGGCTCCTGGTGGTCTCAGGGCAATGGTACAAGCAGGTCAGGGGAGCTCGCAGCCACCACCAGACATCTTCCCACACATCTTCCCAATGGAGCAGCTGCAGTAGCACGGCTGGCAAACCTCCGCAGGGCAGGGAAGGGAGGCGGGCCAGA